GGTGACTCTGGGCAGCTCACAATTAAAATCAGAAACCCCATCAACAATTAAAAATCCCCCCATAAATAGTTAAAATAAATAATCCATTAAAAATCAGATCTAAACAACAATTTTATGTTTATATTTATCAATTTTATGATCAAGCCTTTTTTCCAGTTCAGCAATCCTTAGGTCAAGCGCTTGAGTAATCATTTGTTTTTACGGTATTTTCTTCAAACAAAGCTTTCATCCAGTCTGCCTCACCAGACCCATGCCTTCTTTGCCTTTTGGCAGCCATTCTCTATTTCTATCTTCTTCTTCCCACCTTTGTTTGAAAAATAAGGAAAAGCTATTTCTTCCTTTCCATAGTCCAATAATCCAAATATAATACTTTAGCTCCCTCTTGTGGCCCAAAGTAATATTCCCCAAAGTCAAATGTAACCAGATGTGCACAACTAGTGACAAAGCAAGGGGGGGGGGTGAATCTACAGTCAATCAGAAAATAAGAAAATTGAGAAAATCGCCAAACCAAAACTTTCCCACAGCATCTAAAAATAGATCGCTCTCAACTCCACAAGAAATCACTTATATAAAAATCTTCCTTTTTTTATAGGGAAGGAAATTTTGCTTATTTTATAAGCAAAAATAAGATGTGGATAAAAATAGTCTCCTAAAAGTGTAAAAAACTTCCTACAAAACATTAAAACTTCCAGATTGCACGCTCGTATTTCAGTCCTTCAAATCCAATACAACACACTTTAGAAATCCCAAAAAATAATGAAAAGCCAACGAAGAGAAGAAATATTTCTGTAGTGGGGAAATTCTTTAAGTAACATGCACCAAAGGTGATTTTAGAAGTGGGGTGGCCAGAAGTAATGTCTCTTTAAGGAGGCTTTAGATGCAGCTCCGACAAGCTGTTCCGCCTGCTTCCCAGCTGATTGCTCACCGTTCGGTCACTGTCCACAATTGTTCGATAAGCTTCAATCTGCTGTCCCTGGGATGAACCTCGGAGGTAGCCTGGGAATTCATGGCCACTATGACGGCCATGGGCCTGACTCAGATTATTTGGGACCTGACTCGAGACAGTGGACCCACAGCAGATTTAGTCTTCCTGAGAGCAGTGGCAATGTGGCCTGAGGGGAGAGTTACATCTATCACCATTGCCATGGCCAGATCATGCCCTGGTAGCCTTGCGGTTCTTGCATGCCGCCCCCCTCTGCAGGGAGGCAGGACCTATTCGATCGATCCTCCCCTGGCAACTGATGGACCTGTCGGGGTTTCAGAAGGAGCTGGGGGTTATCCCCGAGGTCTTGCTGCACGGTCCAGTGGAGGCCCTGGCTGCTGCCTGGAATAAGGCAGCAGCCGGGGCCTTGGACAGGATCGCGCCTGTGCAGCCTCTCCTGCCCATTCGAGCCTGCTGCCTCCCATGGTTCACGGAGGAGCTGAGGGTTCTGAAGAGGGTCAAGAGAGGCCTGGAGAACCACTGGAAGAAGACAAGAACCAAACCAGACCGAACACAAGCTAGAGCCACGGTTAAGGCCTACCTTGTGGCGGTAAGAGCGGCGAAGCATATTTCTCCGCTCTTATTGCATCCGCAGAATGCCGCCCAGCAGCCCTGTTCAGAATCACCCGATCCCTATTGGGGAGGGGGGGTTCAGAAAACCATCTACAGGGCCATGCTGAGGAATTTTCTGAGCATCTGCAGGATAAAATTGCTCGGATCCATTCTAAGTTGGACGCCAAGCATGAGGCATGGTCTGGTGAGATGCCTGGGGAACGTCCTTGCCGAGTTATCTGGGACCAGTTTGATCCTGTTGTTCCTGATGAAGTAGACAGGATCCTCCAGACTGTAAATGCCACCACATGTCCCTTGGCTGGTGAGGGTGGCCAGGGAGGGGACATGTGGTTGGGTCCTGGCAATGGTTAATACATCCTTGAGAGACGGGGTGTTTCCGGCGACCTTTAAGGAGGTGCTGGTGCGCCCCCTCCTCAAGAAACCATCGTTGGACCCTACTGTTCTGGATAATTTTCATCTAGTCTCCCACCTCCCCTTTATGGGGAAGGTGGTTGAAAAGGTGGTGTCAGGTTCAGCCCAAAGAACTCCATGAGATACTGCAAATACAGTTCTGTTGCGTTTAATAGCTTCCACCTCAAGACAGGAATCTCTCCAGACCGAACCTAAGTCCCAAAGCCAGCAAGCCACAACACCGTGAATTCCTTAGGGTGGTGCCAGTCCCATCTTCTTAAACTTCTCATGCTCCTGCT